TCCTCTACCATTCCACTATCACCGTTTTACAGCCCTCCACCCTTGAGGCCAGGGTGCATATCAAAGGAGGTGTGGGACCTCCCCCCCCCCCATAGTGGGCTGACCCGCTGCCTTCTCGCTTTTGGCATTAGACTGAGATGGAACTCGCTGCGTGTGTCACATCTTGGCGATGCACTCCACGGGAAGGTAGATGTTCAGGGTGAGTCTTTCATCCCACACTACACTATATATGATTAAGCTTACAATGACAGTTTCAATACTTACATCTGCTCATGGGACGTGTGTCTCTTCACTTACTTGTTAAACTGTGTTTCTCTCTTATGTTTTGCCTTGTTTATTTCACTCTTGTGGTAAATGGGTATAATTCATTATCTTACCTTGGTTCATGCATTTTGTGCACTCTCAAAATGAAAACTAAACAACAAAAAGAAATTTACAACAAAAAAGGACACACTCTTCAAACATAAAGCACCTCAGCATGTTGAAGCGCTTTAGGGTTTGGGAGTGTCCTTTTAAAGACCAATAAAAATGAACACCTTTACTACTGGTTGTTTTTTGATAAAAAACAAACAAGCAAGCAAACAGTAAACAAACATTTTCTCATTACTTTCATGAATGGCATGAATAGCTAGAACAGTATCATAGGGCACAACAACAATTTTACACTGTTTAACAGTAAATAAATAGATATCAATTAAGAAATGCAGGCTCATAAAGAAATGTGTACAGTTCATAATAAAGGATCATTTGCAAACCTCTCTAATATATAATAAATCTGCTTATTACTCCCTAAAAAGAAAAGTTCACAAAGTTCAAGGCAGCTAAGAAAAAAATATATTCGTGGGGTTTTCACTAACCTTTTTTTTTGTAGGGGATAACCCTTGCAAGTAATGAGCAAGGAGACTATTTCCCTCAGATGGAACACTTAATAAGAAAAGTAAGTAAAACATAAAAAGAATAAAAGGATTACTTCATTAACTGAGGTAGTCTTAACATCAGACATATCCCTGGTATTAGCTAAAAAAACTAAACAGTAAAATGGTTGAACCTAGTATAATAAAATTACATATATATATAGTGCTAAGACTGAATAAATTTAAGGCTAAATGCTAAGATAATAAGGCTAAATGAATGCCAAGGTAATTATTTCTCTTATTATTGAGGCGTACTATGTAGTTGATATCAGTTGCCACATGGGGGTCATCTCTGAAGAATTGGATGCTCAAGACGTGCCTATGAACAACCATCAAATTTCTATGTAATGCTTTGTTTACACACTAAACACATATATAAAGATGCCTAGGTTAA